ACAATAAGAATCAGTAGTTAGTGACTCTTTGTGACATGGCTGAAAATCACTCACAGCGACCCAAATGTTTTCACTCCCTGACGTCTTCAAAAGCTTGGATATTCGTACTAACCTTCGTGTTCAGATTGTTTATTCTCTCACACAATTTTTGGTATCAGTCTTTTTCTATCCACCTGTTCTTTGAATACTGCTGTAAAGTGTGGCAACTTGAACCGATGCACTTGTGTGTAAAGTTCTACGTTGATTTGTCTGTCTCTCTGATAGTGTTTTGGCTTCATCTGTGCTCAATTCTGCATATATATTGGATTTCCAACTAGCAAGGAGTGTAGGTGTTGTATCGTTCTTCTTAGTCCTGCGCCTAGTAAGATTATTTTCTTTTAGGATAGTCGATACAATTGTATACTAATTACCTTTCATACTTAGTGCGAATTTTAGTAATAATCCTTATAGAATTTCCGTAGTTAGCTGTATTCCTGCTCAAGCATACCACTACCCAACCAGTGTCGCGGATTTGAACCCCGCTCCACCTACCGAAAGTTTTGACACCCAAGTCTCTTATTGCCTAGTGCATGGATATGCGCAAGTTGACCATGTTTTTGGTTTTTGTAAGCACACCGTTGACCATCTTTCCGTGTAAATTCCAGTTGTTTTATAGTCTGCCTTAGTAACTTTAGGGCCTAACTGTCTATCCACGGAGGTCTTTAGGTAGGTTCCCATGTTGTTCACTTTAAAACGAATTGATAAAACACTTCCTAACATGTTCTTAAATTTTTCCCAATCTTTTTCAGGACTGCAGTCTATATTCACGAAGTAGTCCGCGAAGGCTACCTGCTCAGTAACCTTACCACATTTTTCGTACCTTCAAGCTATTAGGAATTTCAGATAGACTTTAACAATACACTTGGTAAAATTGAAATGAATTATTTCTCATGTGTTCATCTCACGTCATTTGGTGATTCGGTAAGATTTTCCACACACCTCTACTTCTCAAAATAGACGGAATCATGAACAAGAAGTTCATACTAGATTTTGTTCTGTCTCTAGGTTTTAAACTCTAGCACTAAATCACCAATCTAATTCTAACCTCCCAACTGATAGCTGCTATCGTGGTAGTCGGGCTTGGATATCACAATGACCCAACAAGCTATGCTGGTGGGAACGTTAGTACTTCGGGGTCTTACTATCGCAGAAAGGTGTATCAGATAGTCAAGACAAAAAGCTGTTACCAGTGTTTAAATTGCTGCGCTGTGATGGAGACGTGAGTGCGAAGTCATACTGCTGGCTCGACGGGGGTGTAGCAACAGTAGGATATTTCCCTTGTATCGCTAGCAGGCAGACACAATTAACATAGGACATAGCATTATTGTGTAACGGTCCAAGTCGCAAAACTCATGTCAGCACATCAGACGATGAAGCAGTTCAAACTAATCCTGTCCAAAAAATAACACCCCTTTCCCTGTTGTGTTTCGGGGCTGACGGTATGGGTTTTCTAGCTGGATTGAAACCAATCAAAGTCAAGCCTGAAACTTCCAAAAAAGCTGTATGTGACCGTCATCGAACAGGTATCCCTTTAGTTCTGCGATCATGCACCACAATTACTGGTACTATCTCCTTCTCAGACACGTCAACAGAAAGTAATCTCTCACGATAAAGACAGTCAGAAAGTGTTAACCTCTCACTAATGTCAGCCTTCAGGCTCCATCAGATCGCCATCAACCTCCCAAATCTCTGCCTTCTAGTCCTCCCTCACGTTCCGTTCAATAGTCTTACGTCACCTTCAATTTGTTTGAACTCTCTTTGCAGCTTTTGATAAGGATTCGAGTTCACAAAGCAACATCCTTAATCTTCTGAAACCACACTCTAAGCAACAAATCTGAGCTATCAACGTCTACACTAACTTTAAATTGGACAACAAACTTCGCTAGCTAGCACTCTGGCTTCTCAAGCCTCGGATTTGTGCTGTGTTTGTGAGTCACATATAGAAACCAACTCAAATGCGATCCTTCAATTAACCTGGTCCGGCCGTAATGATGAGTCCACAAAACTCACTCTTCAGGTTTCTGGCGATTTGATGACCGGTCCTCGCGTTATTTCAGGTTTAGGTATGGCATTCATTCTTTGGGTTAGAAGTGCACTGCTCGACTAGATTCTTATCGATAGTCATCTATTCTCTGTCTGGCTGAATGTTGCCGTGATTACTAAGCGGAATAGTCCAACTTCCCTTTATCTCTTTGTGATCTCTGCTGACCTCCCACTGATCGCAGGTCGGATGAAGTGAAGAATAAATTCTACTGAAAACTGTCTAGCCTGCTACTAAAAGCCAGATTTTTGACGTGGCAGTTGTTACAGATGATTTCAACGCACAGGTGTGTTTGATAAGTCAGGCACAAATACACTTAAGTGGCACTTCCGGAATCTTAGCGAACGAAGAGATAACGGCGATTGCTTGACACAACTGTGCTCAGATATATAGAAATACATTGCCTAACGTAGCGTCCACCGACCCCAACCCATCAGTGAACACAGTCACAGATGGAGATGATCGGTGAAAAAGTGCCCTTCCTTCTTGAGCAAGTGCTTGAATAGCAACCATGCGTCAGTTAGAGCGCGTGTATGCCTGCATCTCGATGGACTTGGAAAAACTATAACAATAAGACCATCATGAGTACAACTGGGCAATAAAAACACTAAGAATGCTTCCAACGAGATAGTCAGTTGTCGGAAAAGGTAAACATCGTTCATCTCAAAGAAGCCTCACGCTATCTCCATTCCGCTGCTAAAACAGCAGCGAAGATTGTTAATGACGCCCAGAAAATAGTTTGGAAAGCCTGGTGGATATTACCAGTTTCTGAATCAATGGATGGATGTAAACGCATCCCTGCAGGGTTTGTACACAATGATTGGCGGAAACAACTCAGATGTAAACTGATGAGAAGTTCACGCAGTGACCGAGCAGTGGTGATAGATCGCTTTAGACAGTTCGTTTAGACTGATCAAAGAATTTTTGGCAAAATAGTCAGTGGTTAGTGAAACAGTAGTGGAGAAAGATGGGTCTATTGTTTTTTTCGCAGAGATGTACGAATGGATAGGCGAAGCACTTCGAAAAAAATCTAACTGGTCTCCAACTTGTTTTTGGTTGCCTGCTGTCTAGCCTGATCCTGAGTGGAACTATGTAAGAGGCTTTCCAACTCTTGTAGAAGTTGATAAACTATGATTGACCTGAAACAAGGAAAGGAAGTACGGCTAGTGGCAGAGGTATTCAGTGACAGTGGTGAAGGATTGGTGTTTATATTAACTGAAGAGTTAGCTGTTGAATGAGAACCGTTAGACTTTAAAAATCAAAATTTCCATACCATTAATTCAAAATACTGTGAATGAAGAACATTGTTTCAACAAATTATCATCAAGTTCTGCAGTTGCAAAATAAAACTGTACAAAGTAAAAGCAGGTCAATTTTGAGGCAAATACATTTTCAAAATAAAATGTAAGGAGTTCGATCGTTAAAAATGAATTTGTAAGTATCCGAATAACTTATATGCAAATGAAGAATATGATGGTCAAAGAAAAGTCGACAAATAAGGAAGACGGGAACAGCCTTTATTCTAGTCAAGGCCAAGGGAGGAGTAACAGCTGAACGTGTTCCGTTCGAATGAAGAGTTCAGGTTTGATCAACCTGATTGTTGAGAAGACGGTGGCAAGCTGCACATTGTAGTGTTTTGGGATTACGGTGTGTGACACTAAAAACTATATTAACATCCGTGTGATGCCATGTGTCTATCAACTGAGCTAAGGTAGAAATTTTGTCGCTTTCACTTTTCCAAAGCAAGTGGGTAGATGTTTTCGTATCCAAAGCGCAACCGCCTAGTCGTACATCCTACGTGAATTGCCCCACAATAACGGTTCAGTTAATATGTCGTCCTTGTCTGGTAGTAGATTTGAACGACAGACATCTTCATTTGTATTTTACTTGGATTAAGTCTGTCATCCACGTCTTTTTAATAAAGTGTACAACACTTCTATGTGATTAGTTCCGTCTTACGCTCATGAAACATCTCTGTAAGACTGCATACATATAGGTAATTCTGGAACTCAAGTATTTGTTTGGATCTAATGAGGATCTTCGTCCAATAAATTGTCTGTCTAAGTATCAAGGATTCACTCTTATCAGCTTTCATACTGTTTACTATTTGCTAGCCTCAGGACAGGTTAGGAAAAACTGTTAGAACATGGGATGAATGATAGTTGTACTGGGTTTGTACTTGCTGGTAAACTACGTCTTGTTAGGTCGGGTCTCCAAATTCATGTGTTTTATTGCATTCAGATAATAACGAATATGATACAATCGGCACCACTGGTGGGCATCCTCTCTTCTTTGTTTCCTGTTTCTGAATGTATCTTGCATGACTATTTCTCCTCTGATTACTATGGTATATCCTTTTATCTCTCTCCCTCTCTTTCTTATTCTTTACCTCTTCATATTGTCGCACTAGAATATATGAGACATTTCTGGGTGCCTGCGTTATTTCAAGTTTGTTAAGGAGAAAATTGATGGAACTGTAGAATTCGGTGCTTCCCTTACCTTCCTTCGTTTAGAAAGCAACAGTTTTGTTATTGGATTCTTATTTTACTTGTAACAGACATTTTGGTTGGTCGTATTCGTTATCAAACTGCTCTTCGTGTGCACCTCCGTATTTTGTTTTGTGGTTCTATTGACTGAAGTAATGAATTTAGGTAATACATACTTCCTCCGAAGTTTTAATTCAGTAAGCAATTCATCTCCTCATGATGATTTTCTGTCTTCAGAAATCAGTTTAGCTTATCAGGAGTGGACCTTTTGGACAGACAGTTATTCCACTACTAGGATTTGCTTTATAGTTCAGTCGTGTTCGCCATGCATGAACGTTGATATGTGTATTTTCATTTCAATTTTTAGACTCCGTGAATGACATCACTTTGCATTTCTGTTTCCGTTAAATATCGTGGATGCAACAGGTCAAAAAATGTCAGCTAATTTATGGGATGATTCTGACTCAGATGACGACTTGCCAGCTGAATGGGAACAGACTATTCAGGGCAATTTCGTTGTATACTACAAGTGAGTGGACTGGTCATTTTACATGTTGAATGATTCGCACTTTTACCAGGTAGTGAATTCATAACACTTTTCTGGCAGTTTTCTGCTTGACGGCTTTATAAACTTTGTTAGTGGAAGAGCAGAGGAGGCAGTAGTAATTCGTGCGGTTGAGTGAATGATGCTGGCAAAATTCGATGAAGTCACAGCTGTTATTTGCACATGCAAGTAATTAGGTCCTTGGTACGTTACACGTGAAGGGAAAGATAATAAAGGTAGTATTATCTTTCAATGAGGGTACTTTTAGGTAACCATAGAACTGGTTGGTAAATATTCTATTGATAAGCGTGCCCTCTGTTTTCTTGAGACTCAGTTCTACAACTGTATTGCAGCTGAACGATAGTTCAGCTTACTTATCTTGTCAACACTAGCCAGTCGTGGGCTAGTTTGCAGATCCCAGTAATTCCAGAATGTTCCGTGTGTGTGTGGACAAGCCTTTAAACATATTCGGACAGCTATTCAGATGCCTGCCACTGACATGGTGTGTGAAACCACTGAGAATTGTTAAAATAAGTGGAAGCACTTGCAAGAGATATTTAAGGAAAGTTTAATAAGCTAGTGGAGAAGATAAGACTGTAGTCCCACCTCCAATTAGTAAGAAATCATTGACTGATAATTGATTGGTGTTGTCCGAGCTCCGAGGTTCATTCTTGATTGTTACTTCATAAGAAGGTAAATGCTGATGAATTCGCCTATCCTGGTGATGAAATGTCAAAGAGGTAAGCTCATGGTTCGGAGAACACTGAACAATTGTCATCTTCATTCTCAGCTATAAATCTTCTCCACTATCTCGATTAATTGTCCACCGCCTAATACCATTCTTCTGACACTTGGTTGACAACCTGTTATCTGAAGGTCAGATTGAAATCATGCCCATCTTCTTAATTTCATCAGTGTTTTGAAGCTTTGTGATCCTGCTATTGTTGGAATATATACATGTATGAGTTGACCAGCAGTTGTTTTCTGTTACCTACTCGTTTGAACCCTGAGCTGGTTGTCTTTCGACTGCGGTGATCCAATCACAGCAAGTGGTTATCTTCAGTATTGAATTCAACCTCGTTACTGTAGTGTTCAGTGACCAGAAACTTCAGTAAAAGTGTTAGATTTCATCTCAAATAATGGTGATATCATCTGCGTAGCACTAGTCAGTAAAATCATACTGTCTATAAAATCCCCTTCCTCTGGTTCACAATCGGTTGTTTGTAAATAGTTGAAACCTTCCAAGTATGACACCGAGCACGAAGAATCTACTCTCTGCCAGTTTCCAACTGTACTTTATGTACTTGTTACTGGGATTAGGCTTTCCACGGCTAGAGAATTAGTGGAGGATTGGGAAATCACATAAGATCTGGATATTACAATTCTTCAACAGACGTCTGTAATATGATGCAAAGAACTTCTAGTCATCTGAAGACAGCTAGTAAAATGATTAGTGTAAGTGAAGTGAACGTATTTATCAGGATTTTCAGGTAAGTGACAGCTGACTGCATTTCACATTGATTCCTTGTATGTACTTTTTCATGTGAATGTAGTGTCTTGGAAGGATTGTCAACAACACATATATGCACTAGTTTTCTGTTAATTGGTCATACTGCTCAACAGTGACTTGCTTCGAGATAAGATTTCTCAAGTCCTAATGAGAAGTGGTGACCTCTGGGGCCGACCAAGTCGGACGTGAGTACAGATACTTAGTGACGCCACTGAATGGAGGTCACGCTATATCGTAAAGTGAGAGAAGTGGGAAATGTGGACCAGTGAATTCCGACCTAGTGGCTCAAAGAGAACGTGCTGGCCGTGGAAACTGAAGGTCCTGGGTTTGATCTCTATTGGGTTCATGACATTGCACTGCTGAGGAGGAGTGTCATACTGGGGTGAAATGTCAGTTCAGTGCTCCCAGCTTTCCAATGGTTATCTGGCTAGTTTCAGTCAGTGATGAACACTAAGGTGAGATTATGTAAATAGTGTGGAGCAAGTTCTGATTACTGTCACTGTGGAAGAGAGGAGATGATGTCCCATCGGAAGCAAAGGAACCATTCTTTTGGGTCCTACAAATATGTGCTTACAGTTTTATTCTGAAGAAGAGTGCAAGATAAGGTTGTATACAGCTGATGAATATGCACTGAATAAGACAATATCCACTTACTCTGCAAATATAGTTCTTTTCGCGTTGTCAAATGGCACAAACGTTTGTCTTATGTGGTAAATTGAACTGCTCTTGTGGAAATCATCCTTTGTATCACCCGAACTGAATTGAGTGAACACGTAAACCGCAACTATGAATAGGCACAAGTGAATGTCACGATGACTCTCACATCTTACGCATCCATTTACTTGATCAGCTCACAGATCCTATCGGTTGATATCAAGTCAGGAGGTGGACTTTCTGTTCTACAAGTTAGTGCAACACGTACACCTGCAAGTCGACGGGCGCTGACCATTGGATATCCGAACAGGGTAAAGTAGATTTTGAAGGTTCATCACATTAGCTATATATTTGCGTGATTGAATATCTACAGAGATTCTGTATCGACATCTCAAAAACATGCCATACATTCTTGATTCGAGATACCAACGTTTTAATAAAAACGCCTGTTGTCTGATTCGGCATAAGTGTGGTGTGTAGGTTGTTTCTACGTGAAACTGGCAGTGTGGTTTTAGGAAAATAGTAGTGGTGTTTTGCTGGCTTGGATAGCTAGCAATGGTGTTACAGTGAGAAACTGCTGTTTCGATGTTCTCACATATGTCAGGGAGGAAATTGTCCAGCGAGTAAATGTATGTATGTCACCAGCTTGTGTTGATTCTTCGGTATAAGTGTGGAGGGTGCAGCGTTAACTTAGAATACATTATGTAGCTGGCTGACTAGCCATAAAGTTGACATATCAACCTGTGTACTGTTGTTACTTTGTCAGCGATGTATTCATACATTGGTTGGATTACTATATTTCTCGCATAAACTTAGTTTTTATCATCACTTCTGTTAACAAGATGACCTTTGGGTAGTAGATCAATCCGTATGAAGTCAGACATACCTAAGGTTATTTCCATTAGTGCGTCTATGACGCAGCTAAATAGGAACGGTGACAGTGAACCAATGAGCCACAACTCCATGTTGGACACGAACAGTTGTTGTCAATCCACGTGACAACTCTTCATAAGCTCTAAGGTGGCTTTGTGAGTTCGAGTAGAGAACTTTGACCAACACTACACACTTGGATATTGCTCCCTTGATAGTCAGACACTGCCACAACATCTCATAGTTAAGAGCCGAATGCCGTCTTCAGGTCAAGAAATATGTCACATGTTGGCCACCGATAAGTATGCCTGTCTTCTGTGACTAGTCGAAGGGTGAAGATTTGACCGACACACTTTCGTCCAGATCTGAAACCTGCCTGGTTTTCGCTAGCTTCAGTTAGGTGTCGGATAATTATGAGCTCTAAGGTCATGGACACGATGTTAGTCAAACTAATTTCTCCATTGTTGTCACAGGATTTCTGCCCCTTCTTATGAACTAAGATGATCAGTGAAGCAAACCAATTAGACAAGAAGACGTCTGACTCACACACACACACACACACTACCTAGTAGCTCCGTCGCTTTAATTGGCCGTTTCCTACCTCCATGTCAGGAAACTTCGGGTGGCAAACTGTGAGGCCCTGCTACTGCTTTGGACTGTCTCAGGCTCAATGCAGCTTTGTCAACTTAAAGAGAGTTGAAAGACCAACATTTACGTCCCATTTAGGTCCAGGCAGAATGTTGGGTAACTGAAGCGTTGCTGTGGTCCATTCGAATTGTGCATTAAAATGTTCCGCTCAATGTTAAAGCCGCCTATCCTGAGGGGTTATCAGCCTCCCGTTATTTTCGTTGATGGCAGTTACCATCATCTTCTTACCAGTGTCCCTATTCAGCCTAAGCACTTGTCGGGTATTACTTAATGCTGATACCTTTTCCAAATCTCCAGCCTTCGCCATTTTCAGCTGTTCGTGACCATTGCGAAGACTGTCGGTTAATTCACAACGAAATTGATTTCACTCTTCATTGTTCTCAGAGCCTTCTGAGATAAATTTCTCGCATCAATCAGTTCGGATGACGTTTCAGAAATTCAGTGATGATTGCTAACCTTCGAGAGTAGGTTACCAAGTGTATCTACCTCTGTTTCTACAGCAGATCTAACATCACTCCAGATTTCCTCAGGATGAGCATTTCTGTCGCATTCAGTTAAGTGCTTTGCTAACTACTGCCTAAATACATATTTGGCGTCCTCATCTTCCAATGGAGCACAGATAGACTTCAGTATCGCCTGTTTCCTGCGACCTATATGGCGCAGACATACACGAATCTGTACTAGTGCATGATCGGAGTCCAAACTGGTACTGCAGAAAGATCGGCGATACTCATCTGTACTGTAGTCAGTAAGTGCGTAGACGGAGATTACAAGTAGAAATCCACAATTCTCACGAACCTTCTTAGTCCTTTCAGCCGACCAGTAGATAGACGACTGTTGACTGCTATCCAGTCGAGAAGCTCACTTTCTACTCTACAGTTAAATCCTATGCCTACGTCAGGGCATCCAGGAGAGCTAGTCATTGGGTCTCCTGATATTCTGAAGATAAATCTTGAGGACTCACCACTATGGTCAGGTGAAGTCAATTTAATAACCAAAATCGGATCCTGTATACATGTCTCAGAGACATCACACATCCGTTGCTTGAGATTTCAGAGTAGTTTTGGTGAGCAATACTTGCTGTTTGATTTAGCTAGCGTCTTAAGAGACTAGGAATGAAGTTTCGATGGCTTGCATTACTGGCGATAGTCGCAGAGTGGGAGATTGGGTAAGGTGTAAGAGGCTTAATATTATATTAGTATCAGAAGGTGAAGGCAAAAGAAGAGACAAAGTTGAGGAGAATAGCTTGTGTATCATTGGGTCTTGTGTACTACTGGAAACGTGAGAAATGTTGAAACTTCCCGGCTACCCACACTGTGGAAGGCTATTTCTTCATTTCAACCTTTTCTAGCACCGACCCTCTCCCCTATGGAAGGCAGCATAGGTATGGCGCTGCTAGTCATTCAACGGAAACACCTTACTGCTATCACACCCCATCCAGCCAGCAGTACGACTCTGCTCTCGGAGTCCCATTCTGGCATAAAAATTTACCCTACGATGACAACTGCTTTTTGTCTTACCTCTATCTAGAAGACATTTCTGGGATGGTAGAATGTCGAGGGAACAGGCGTTTTAGCTAGTGTAGCTCGTTAGGTCATTGTGGTATACACCAAAAGCTGGTCTCGCCCAATTTCACAACTTATTATTGAACTCAACTGGACTCAAGGCTTATTACCAGTATCCTGAAGTGCTGCTGCTAGTTATTGAACATTTACAGAATATGCTGACATCGTTTTAACAGTGGTAGTTGGAACAATCTAAAATACGATGAAAGTAACCTAACTAATAAATCTGAATGACTAAAGACTAGGCCACACTTGTCGCAGACGCAATATCGTGATCACTTTTGCCTCATAACCACACTTATACTACTGTCTGGTTTTCAGTTCTTTACTTATTGACATGGATGTAAAACACACGAACATGAAGTGCTAACTCATGTTAACAGTTAGTCCGTCCTGTCAGTTCTGCAAATATTGAGCAGGTTATCTGTAGTCCTACATATTATGTGTACCCCAAAACGACAGGATAACCAACCCCTTTATTAAGGAATAATTGTATCTGTTTTGTCATGTTATGGTATGACGTTTACGCCCAAACCAGCTAATTAGACACGTGTATTTGTTTATTACACTATACTTTAGTGTTAATCCACAGAATTATTTATTCCTCTTACCAAGTCGCTTAACAGGATTTTCTCAAAGAATACATCCAATTTCTGGCCGTGTTAAGCGATTGTCATCTGCTTTACCCAAAGGTTGGTCATCATGTGTTGACACGTCTGGAAGAATAGTCTATTCGAAGTAAGTTTGTGAAACGTACTTCTCCATTTTCATCATTGGTTGTTGATCTATGTACATTGAGTGGTAGAGATATCCAGCTCTTGACTCACACCCAAAGCGCTTTTGTGCATAAATAACTGGGAGGTATATCAGACAAGGAAAGTATTTCAAACAGAGATAGTGAATGTTTCTGAGTGGATTGTGGAGTAGGGCCCTATGATGTAGTAGTTGTGAGAATGATAGCCTACTATCCAAACCAGACAATTTCAGAAGCATTTGTTAGTCAGATCTAGAAAGGAATTACAACGAGACAAATCAACAATGAACCTTGCTCGGAAGTGGGTCAGTTCGATTTGGCGAACTTGACAATAGCAAACAGAGAGGAAGTAGACAGAAAAAGAATGATATCGATCGAAGTAAACGAGAGTGTATGTATGACATGATAGCGAACAAATCAATTGAAGTTAGTAAAGATGTTCTACAACGTGAAGATGAAAAGGACTGAATACATCTGCAACAACGGCAGTTCCGTCTCCCAACTCCCTCCTTTCGAAGCCAGCCACTCCTTAAGTGTACGGTTATTCCGTTCTGTTAAACCATTGGTCTGCGGGTGGTACGGTGTCACTCTTATCCTTTTGATATCGAGCTGCTCCAAACAGGATTTGAATTCCTTACTCTTAACACAAGGACCTTGGTTGGTCAATATCATCTTCGGCACACCGTGTTCCACGACAATATGCCGCATCGCCGCCGCGGTGACTGTCTTCGCGCGTTGATCAAGAATCTCAACAGCGTCCACCCATCGTATAGCATGCTCCGCCATCACCGACAGGTAGGTGTCTGCGGAAGTGGTCTTATTACGTCCACAGACCACAAGTCACCAACTGCTGCTACTGGAATCGACTGACACGGCGGTCGTTCATACCGATCACCTTTCATCAACTGACAATGTGGACAGCCCAGCACGTGTTTGGCAACATCCCTCATACCTGGCCAGTATGTGCTTTGTCTGAGAAGGTCGGCTGTCCGTGAGACGCTTTTATGAGCTAACTGGTGGCATTCTTGTATCATTTTGTCGCGTAGACATTTCCAAATCACTGCCAACCAGCTCCCGTCGTTTTCTCCCCAAGCCAGCATTCCATAAATATTCACCCATAGGCGTTTTTTCTGTGTCAGCAACGTCCTCAACTCTTTATTTTCCACAGACTTTTGTGTCTCCGTTCCTTCAGTTGTCACTTTTATCACTGCCTTAAGTGTAGGGTCCGACTTCTGAAGGCGAATAAGTCTTAATAGGTCCCGTTCCACTGTATGTACACCGTATGCGATCTCAGGTAGTTCATTTTCCTCGTCTGATTTTGATAGGAAGTCTGCCAACCAGTTTTCTTTCCCTGCCACATGACTGATTGTAGAATCTTACTGTCGCAGTTGTAACATCCAACGTGACAATTTTCCTCTGAGGTCTCTAGCTGTCTTTAGCCACTGATGAGGTGTGTGATCAGTTTCAGTAGGGAATCGTTGACTGACGAGGTACGATCTCCATTTATCCAACAACCAAACTATCTCCAGAAATTCCTTTTCAACCGTGGAAAATTTGTGTCCTGCAGGTGTCAGGACACGGCTAGCATACTCCACTACTCCTTCAGTCTGTCTCAGTATTGCACCTATTCGATAATCTGTAGTTTGTTGTAAATGCTTTTCGTGACGCGCCAACTCTCTGAACCAAATAGAAACACTGACTTGACATTACCGTTGAAAATATGGATCTTGTTTTACATGCCGAGTGCAGAAAATCACACTGGTTTCAGGTTAATGAAGGCCTGTCTTGCTTTTCCGACCCTGGCTTTGACATCCTCATCTGTGCCGCCACCACCGTCTGGTAGTTGAAACGATCCTGCCTAGGTAGGTGGGTAGGTGAAAGAGACAATTTCCTTTAGGTTTCTCCCATTGATGGTGATTGGTGTTTGTTGTTGTTGGTTGGGTATCTTCATCACCTCTGTCTTCTCTACATTCACTTGAAGTCCTGTCTTCGCTGCCTCGCCTCTTCTGTCAACTTGTTGGTTTTCGCCTGTAGATCTTCGAGTTTGTGCCACAAGACACTGGACATAAATCATCATCATCATCATCATCGGCGAAATCCAAATGTTTTTCTGGGGTGTTTTCATCGATCCAGCCATCGTATAGCCCTCTTCTCGCTCCTCACTGTTTGCTGCATGATCCAGTTCAGTCGACGACAATCAGAAATATGATGGGTGATAGAAGACAGACTTGTTTTACTCCTGTCTTCACTTCAAAGGCGTCGCTGGCATACGAGAAGTTTCAGCTGTACGTGAACTTAATCACGTGTCATATCAGTGTTATGGACTGAAGAGAGAATCACAATGAAAATGTCGAACTATATTAATGACAAAGGTGGCTTTAGACTTTATCGATGAAGAACTGTTTTGCAATTGCCTCTTACTGAAATGAGTGCTCAAGAAGTCCATCACCTCACCAGAGGTTTAATACTCCAACATCCATGCATGTGGTAGAGCCTATGACCAGCTGACGAGTGAGGTGTGTCCACATTGAATGGTGTCACCTACAGATAGACACTTCGTTCATTTTTACTCAGCTTCCTCACATACATGCTCATGTAACTCATTCTCCTCCCATCTCGCTTTACAGACACAGACCTCGCATCCGACTCTTTAGTCGAATTAAAGTACTTCGACGATATGGTCCTATTAGGTGAAGATACTGACAGGAGGCAGAATCTTCTCGACACGTTTAGTGACAAAACTGGAAATGTAGGGAGTGCTTTCTCACCTCTCAGATGAAACATGGTTTTTCAGCACTCATTATCTGATAATAGGAAATCAAATGATTCAGTGGATTAAACATTTGAATTCGGATCAATCAATTAATCTTGGTCACCCACAAGATGTTGTCATGAAGATAGAAGGTTCGATTGGTCTTCGATGGCACACACCACTTCTGATGCCAGTGAGATATTTTATTTGCCAAGTATGAGTCAAGTGTACAGCGTAGCAGTTCACTCTCATACTATTGTCCTGTCAAACATGGTCATTATACATTCTACCGATCTCAAGTCGTGAGGTAAGAAGTTCAGTACATGGGACAGAACAACTGGTCATTATTCATATGATTGCCTGTGGGAACTGGTTACCGTCTCGGATAATCTGGTTACTTGTGTTCATGTCTTGTGAAAATGAATCGTATCGTTACTCAGTACCATCATGTCAGGTTACCACTAGCGGATTGGTTCGGAAATTGCGTGACGGCTATTTTACTAAGAAATGAACCATATAGGTATGACAGTTATAATATTACTCGGTCACCGAAACTGGATAGGGGAGGAGATTTCAAACTTGTACTGAAGCCAAGTGACTAAGCCAGAGAGGAATTGCTCTTTGTATAATTTCATCACAGTTACATGATTGCTAGGGTTCTTTAACAGTTCTAAAACGTAGAAGCTGACAGACAAAATAAACGTAAAACCTCTGAAAGTTGCTACATGTCACAGTAGAATACAAGGAACATGTGGGTAGCAAAGGACTGATGTTAAAGTAGACAAAAGTGTATAGGGAGGAAAGGAAATTTGAAAATCCAAGTTGTTGAAAGTGTTAAAGCTTTAGAAGAAATCCGGCAGTCGATGCATCTGCCAGTTCCCAGCCCTTTTGTCGTTTTCAGGACCCCAGCTTGGAAGTCCACACCTCCCTACACAGCTTAGACCAACAGTCAGATTTCATGGACTGATGTCACATCTTGATCCGGCCACCCTTAACCCCTTTTCAACCTAATCCTAATTCTCCTACCATCGAACTTCGAGGTAAGCAGTGGCTGACCACCTCAGTTGACGAAGGTTCACAACCTCCTCTACCATCTCCCTTTGTCAATCCTCGAAGTAACATAGTGAGGAAAGTTAAAAAGACACCTGTGTTTGAAAATTTGTCATTTTTCCATACCTTCTACTTTCAACGGCCATGTTTCACAGCCGTATGTCAGAAGACAACGGACTGAAACGCAGTATGGTCGTCCTTTAATAGGTGGTCGGATATATCGCGAGTTGGTGTCAGAGGTAACAGTAGCTGGAAATGCCGAAGGTGCATTTAGTATCCGAGCTGAGATTTCGTCAGCAATCAACCCGAACGGGGCACTTGATGTGGTTGATGTATTCCACCACTTTACCCGCTATCATTAAACTGGGAATGATTGCAAACCAGACTGAAGCATTATCTTACAATTGCCTGGTGCAAAACGCATGCCAAACATACTTCGACCTCTGCTCAACCCGTTCAGAAAACCCTGCATTTTGTCAGCGTTTTCACTTAACAGGACAATATCTTCTTATTGCAAGTCAACCAGATGAACTTCAGGTAGTAGGTCAATCCGTGTGAAGTCAAATGTATCTAGGGTCATGCCCATTAGTACGTCTATGATGCAGCTAAATAGGAACGGTGACAGTGAACCAATGAGCCACAACTCCATGTTGGACACTAACAGTTGTTGTCAATTCACGTGACAACTCTTCATAAGCTCTAAGGTGGCTTTGTGAGTTCGAGTAGAGAACTTTGACTAGCACTACACACTTAGATATTGCTCCCTTGATAGTCAGACACTTCCACAATACCTCATAGTCAAGAGTCGAATGCTGCATTCAGGTCAAGAAATATGCCACGTGTTGGCCACCGGTAAGTGTGCCTGTGTTCCGTAGGCAGTCAAGGTATGAAGATTTGAAAAAAATACCCTCCTCCGGGTCTGAAGCGTGTCTCACCTCCTCGAGTTCCAGTTAGCCGTTGGAAAACTGTGAACCCCAGGATGTTTGATGCGGTGTTAGTCAAACTAATTCCCCTATGGTTGTCAAAACGAGACTCATCTTCCTTTCGACTGACTGGGATTATCCGTGAAGTATACCAATGTGACACGAATACGTCTGACTCCCATGCACACACTACCTATTACTTTCGTCACTTTAAGAAGAAACTTCTTACCTACATCCTTGGAAACTTAGGGTGGCAAACTGTCACGTTTCGCTTCTTTGGATTGTTTCAGGTTTTATGTAATAGCCTTAATTTTGAGGAGAGTTAGAGGATCAATATCTACGTCCTACTGTCGTTCAAGCCGGATGTTGGGCATTTGACGCGCTGCTATGGGCTAGTTGAACTGCTTCAAAGTGTTCTGCCCAGGGTTTTATAGTTACTTGTCCTGGGTTATCAGTGTCCAACCCTTTTTGGTGATGGTTTCACTAACTGTCGTTTTCTTTTTTGCAATACTCTTAATTAACCGAAATAATTGTTGAGTACTGAACGATAGTGATGCCTTCTCCATCTCTCTTGCTTTCGCTATTTACAACTGCTTGCGATCACTACGAAGATTCTTAGTCAATTCCCCCTTAGTTTGATTTTGCTCTTTATTGTGGTTAGAGCCAGCTGAAACGAGTCTTCTTGCACCCATCAGTTCAGATGTTATTGTAGAATTTCTCTGACTTTTGCTAACCTTCGGATGTAGGTTACCAACTGTTCTTACCACTTTTTGTACAGCCGACCTTATATCATGCCAGTTTTCCTCAGGATGAGGATTACTGCCTCGTCCAGACAAATACTTAGCCATCTCTTACCTAAATATGTACTTGATATTCTTATCTTCCAATCATAGGCTTAACTGCCACCTGTTTTCTGTGACCAGTAAAGTGCTGGTGGTTAGGCGTGACCTTTATCCCCACAAACATTCCAGGAAGAGCAGCAATTCTTCAACGATGACTCATAACAATATGATCTGTCTGTTTCAACCGTTGTTTCTAAGTCTACAGACTGTGTCTTTCCTTAGGCCTAAAGTTAGTGCTGTCCTGAAACAAGTTGTCGGCACAAAATTGCAACAGACAATCACCGTCGTCGGTACGTTGACATGCGATTCTGCAAATACCTCCAAGATGACTTTACGACTAGCTCAGCTTCCGTACTTCAGCGTTAAATACACCCGCCGTTAATGACTACATCTGAACGTTTTTCCTTCTGTGGCAAAATCTACAGATTTTCATAGAGTTCATCCTTTGCATAATCCGAACTGCAGTTAGTAGGTGCGTAGGCAAAGATTACGCATGGGCATCGGTTGGTCTCATGGACCTCTCTTGTTCTTAAAAATCCATTCAATCGACTAACATTTTTGAGGCTGTTGACCGGTATCCAGTCAAGGAGTGCACTTCTGTTCGGGAACCTAATGCTATGTCTACGCCAGGGATTTCCACAAGAGCCAGCCACTAAATCTCTGGATACTCGTATGGTGAAGATTCACCAAGTGAGATCAAGTGACTTGGCACACTGGGGCCCGTATTTGTTTCTCAGAAACAGAACACACCCATGGCTCGTGAATTCAGAGTTTGCCTAAAAATTACTGCTATCCGATTTTTTTGGGTAGGTTTTGGACGTTCAAAGCTCTAATGGGAAGTTGGCAGCGTGATTTCCGGAGGCTAGGAATTGTGTTTAGCTGGCGTTGATCGTTGGTAGCGAGAGGTTGCGGGAGGTGTAAGAGGCTTAATATTAGTATCACTAAGTGAAGGCAGTGGGGGAGACAGAGATGAGAAAGGAAAGTTATATTTGATTCGGTTTTTGTACGCTACTGAAAACGTGCGGATGGTTTGTAATATCTGGCTGCCCACACTGTGGAAGTTATATCTGCAGAACACTTGGAAGAGAAAACGGAACGGTTTGGCGTGACTATAGAGTCCAGGGGACATCTTGAAACTTGTTATACACAGCCTTTTAGGGATTGTTGTTTTGAGATTTGATTGTTCTAACGCCGGATAGGAAAATCCATTCTGCCGGTACCGAAATACCGCTGGTCTGAGTGAAGTGTACTACTTTTGGGTTCAATCTTTTCTAACTGTCCCCTCTCATAGGAAGGGAGTTTCAGCATGGGACTATTAATCATCCCCAAGAAACACCTTGTTGCTGTCACACCCTGTCCAGCTGGCGGTATGGCTTTGCTCTCCGATGCTCATCAAGGCATAGCAATTTGCACTGTAACAGTGAATGGTTTTTGTCTAACCGCTATCCAACAAGCCTCTTTGGCATGGTAGAACCTCAAGTATCGAGTCTGCCATCCAGTATAGCTCGTTAGGTTATTTTGATTTGCAAGCCTGATCACCACTTCTGTATAGCAGCTATTAACGAAAAACTTAGAACGTAACAGTTATTTTATTTGAGGGTCTTATCAGTGAAATTTTCTCTGCTCCTTTGCCTTAAACTTAGAACCTAAAAGCTGCTTAGAAAATTTCAGTATAACCATCCTCCTCAAATAAGGTAAACATTAATGTTTTTTCAACTTGGCCAGTGTGTTGTTATCAGTGAACACATTCACGATCAATGCTAATGAGAATTAAACTAAAGAGAAGAAAATTCCCACTCTCTTCTCAATGCTGTAGCTATACTGCTTAGTTCATAAAATACAGAATTTTCAACCAAATATTGCGTAAATAAAAAGTATATGAAGCAAATTTCCATTAGTTTATAAAAGCTTAGTCTGCATCAACCTTTAGTGAATCCTGAGTATGCACTGAAATATTTTCCCTGCCCCTTATTGTCTGTAAGTAGTAGCTGTTTCATCCTAAGGTACTCTTATTAGGATCCTACTATCATTACTTGCATTTATTAGTTTTTGCATGCGGTGACCGAATTTCAGGCGAGTGAACATGTTTCTAAAAGCGCCTTATCATTGTTCTACTTTAGACATAAGATAAAGATTATATTCATCATTACAACAGTGGTAATTTATAATTCCACTATTGCTCTTTTATAAAGTTTATCGTACAGTAAAACACTACTATTTACCTGGCATCACCAGTAAATATTACGCTTTCACTGGCTGATACGTGTAATAGGATTATAATAGGAGGTTTATAATAAGTGATCATTTCTCTAAATAAATATTTATTATTAATTACCTTTTTGAATGAGGATGGATTGTTTCTCAATGTACCGAGACAATTGTGACTTAATTACACTCGATAAGTTGTAGTTGTAAAATAATTCATAATTTTTTTCTTTACTTTAATGAAGTTCAGAAACTGGGTGCTCAACTTATTCAGATCCTAGACTTGCATCAGCTTTGTTGACCTACCCTAGAAAGTCCAACCCAATCCATCAATTCAAATTTGACAAGTTTTCCAGTGCAAATGATGTAAGCTACTTTTTTAAATTGGTAATGAGGCAAAATTCTTTTTCTCCTGTGCTTACTTATATTAGTAATCTTAACATCATCGTCAGCATCAACAACAACCGTTAAACTAACCGATATAGACTCTTATTTAGAATTCCTAATAATATCCGTTTTAGTTTGTTTCACATATTTAAATAATAATAACAGCTTGTGGGATGCGGTAGATTCACTATTTTGTTTCTTTCTTCTCAACTCTTTACATGTTATTACAGGTAAATGAATTACTTAAAAGAAATAAATGTTGACATTCAATTGAGACAGATGAATAGGTTGAATTGAAGAGCTGTGATGTGATATCAGAAAAGTTGATTTTCGAAATTCATGACATTTCCTAGTGATCCTTGGAAAATGTTCGGTGAAACTGTTAACTAACCGTACTGGTAAATAAAGCATTTGATTAGACACGAATAAGCTCAGGTGTAATCATTGTTAGGTCAAGTTAGTTAGTCAGTATGAATATGGAACAGGAAATTACCGTGAAACACTTCAAATCATCACACCTCACAACAAGGTACATAAAAAAGGGTGGAAATGGCATTCTCAAAACCCGTAGAAAACAGTTATATATAATAAAGCATGATTTGGTGTTTAAGATTAATATAAGGCATGGATCAATCTGCACCACTGTGACCGCTTGCCTCGCAGACCGCAACTTGGAGGTCTGAATTTTCGTGCACGCCTCAGACCAATAGTCAGAGACTTTATAGTCATATTTTGACAACTCTCGGTTATATTCCAGCTTAGGCACACTTCAATTAATCTAGCATGTTGAAGCAAACGGTGACTATACATGCGTAAAGCACGTCCTAGCGGCTTAAATAGACTTAAAACCCTTTCCTCAAGACTCTTTCCCTCAGTGTCATATTGCTCTTTTGGGTGATTCGACAACACAAAGGAAACGTTGTGAAGGCAGCGATGGTCGAGGACTTACAGTCTTCCAACGTTCTCGACGTCTAATGGTCAAATTGCACCGGTTAATGGTATGAGGGAGTGAACTGTTACACTGTACACTTGACTCATACTTGGCAAATAAAATATCTCACTGGCATCAGAAGTGGTGTGTGCCATCGAAGACCAATCGAACCTTCTATCTTCATGACAACATCTTGTGGGTGACCAAGATTAATTGATTGATCCGAATTCAAATGTTTAATCCACTGAATCATTTGATTTCCTATTATCAGATAATGAGTGCTGAAAAACCATGTTTCATCTGAGAGGTGAGAAAAGCACTCCCTACATTTCCAGTTTTGTCACTAGACGTGTCGAGAAGATTCTGCCTCCTGTCAGTATCTTCACCTAATAGGACCATATCGTCGAAGTACTTTAATTCGACTAAAGAGTCGGATGCGAGGTCTGTGTCTGTAAAGCGAGACGGGAGGAGAATGAGTTACATGAGCATGTATGTGAGGAAGCTGAGTAAAAATGAACAAAGTGTCTATCTGTAGGTGACACCATTCAATGTGGACACACCTCACTCGTCAGCTGGTCATAGGCTCTACCACACGCATGGATGTTGGAGTATTAAACCTCTGGTGAGGTGATGGACTTCTTGATTATGGTTTTGGTGAGAAAAGATCGCACGCGAAGTTCCTATCTACTGAACTGAAAGCGACCTTCAAGTGGATAGAAACGTCTTGTATCCGGTTCTTGTGAGTTTTTCAGAAAGTACGGATCTGGTTGCAAGTTTAGTAATTAAAGTTACATCTTAGTCGTCATCGTCAACATGACGCAAGCTTATACAAGGGCGGTGGCTTTTTGAATAACTAATTTCAAATTTACCTGACTGTGTAAGCTATTCAATATTTGGTTAAATTGAACTGCTCCGTGTTCGTAGTATACTTTGCATTATTCTATGGTTGATAGGTTCGTAGGAAATACTTCTTTCACGTGTGTCGCGCTAATCGTTGTTTAGTGACCACTGAATATTTCAGAATCAATATAAATTGAAAAGTTGTTGTTGATTGTTTTTTTCAGTTTCTTGATGAAATTGCTTCTATCTTTATTTTGTTTTAGATATTGTTGAATAAAGATCTTCGTGGTTATTATGCAGTTGTGACCAATTCAGGATGCGGTCTTGGTTTATCGGTTGCGCTTCATCTCATCCGACACGGTGCAGTTGTTATATGCGCTTGTTCTAAGTGTCCAGAAAACGCTATCCCTTTGTTCAATAAAACCAAGTCACTTAAAGAAAAGGAGACAGTTTTAAACTTGAGTGTACCAAACTTAGTTAATGAATATTCTAGTCAACTTTTTTGGATACCTTACAACCCTTTAAAACTTTCCAGCATTATAGAGTCTGTTCAAGTGAGTACTTTCTTCTCGATACCAACCGATAAATTAAGTGACTTCGCTAATCTGCTGTATCCACAGTAGTTGGTCAACAATTTTTAGATCTAGTCGTGTCAGTTATTTAGCTGAATCGTGGAGAATTGAGGGCCATTTCTTGATATGATATGGTTTCTACAAAGGGCTTACATTTAATGCTGATGAAAAGGAATTACACCTCACTTATTGTAGCTAGTCCACTTTGTTATAAATCACATAAGTTCAGATTCATAACGTGAAAACTATCAGCATCAACGTTTTTAGCCGACGTGTCTACTTCGCAGTCGTGATTTTTTTCCTATTATCTTGCTGTGTATTATCTTCATATTCGACTACTATTTTCGGCTTACTGGAGATCTCCTCCTGGTTAAACGACTAGGTTTGCGCAGTAGTAGTGAAAAGAAGCACTAAATGCGACGTCTTTTAAATTTCTATGCATACAAATTCAAGGGTTTCACTAGAGTGGACTAACTGTATCACACGATTGATCTATATCAATATTCGGTTCGAACACACAGATAATTAGTTGTCTTTAATAAATTTAACTTCCTAGGAAACTGTGTTTATTTAGATAGTTAATCGATCATGTTGGGAATATTGAAACAAGCAGACAAGCTCTGAGAACCCAGGATGTGTCGTTGCCCGTCTGGTCTATTTGTATCGTCATTGAACTTCTGAACTGCGTATTCGAAAAAAGCAAATCTGAAACCACATGCAATTTCATAAACCAGATATTAGGTGCATGAGGCTAAAAGTCATCCGCAGTTGTTATCGCACTTGTTATAGGTTATAGCGTTCTGTGTGGAAATGCGTATTTTCTGTGTTCTGTATGCATATTTTACCTATTTGTATAGTTTTCAAATGCCGTCTGTCATTGAATCGTATCCTGTATCATATATTTATATGCAAAGTATTGGCTGCCCTTCCTCTTCTTAGGTGGAAATTAAGTACACTTATTAATGAAGAATGATGTTCACAAATCAAAGTGAGTTAATTGAGGCTTCAAATTGCAACGAAAAGGATTTATGATTTCAGTTTTCACTTCAAAATCTATGTATGGAAACACAGAAAATTCGTATTTTCACACACCTGGCGTTAACTTTTAGCCTCAACCCTGTCGCTACCAAAGAAAGTTTTTAGCGCTCAAACGTCTGTTTTATAGGAAATTCAGATCAGACACAGTAATAGAAGAAGAGAAATGAAAAACATATTGCATCTTGTAGAAAAATAGTCTGATCGGTATCACTAGTAAGTAAACCATATTTGTTTTAGAAAAAGTCAAACTAGTCGAATTTTTTTCAAAAAGTAAACTTTTGAGAAAATAATCTTAGGAAATTACTGTCTGGGTCACTAGACAAGTTCAAATTTTATGACATACGAATAAAGCTTATGCTATGAATGTACGAACTGAATTATTCTCTAGATTTTATTTAGTCTTGCTCAACAATCATCTGAGTGTCAATAAAGCCCTCAGAAAATTATTGATTACTTTTGATACAAGCTGTATTACTTTGGGTTTTTTTATTCATGTTATGCCTACCCCAATTAACTGTTTGGGTTATTAATTGTGATTAAAGCAGTTCTAATTGTGTAATCGCACAAGCTTGAGTAATAATCTCATATTCTTTATGAAAAACCTCAAGCAGTCGATGGAAATTCGATTTGTTTTCCCCTCCTTAGTCTCCTTTCTCATTAGGTTCGACTGGAAAATCGTAGTCTTTTTCTGAGGCTGAATGTGAATTGAATATTTTTGCATAATCTTTACTGAAAGCTACTATTTTCATTTGATTTAACTTCTGAGCTTTCATGTCTCATTCAGATATATATACTCCTTTTTCGAGATGTGAGTATGGTATTTGCTTTGCACCATTGAAGTGCAAAGTACTTTTGCAAGATTGTCAGGAGTCTGTGCTCACCTTCGGTAGTGGGCCGTTGTAAATAGTCGAAAAGTTCGTGTACCCCAGCAGTTGTGTGAGTGGTAGTAGAGGTATGTGATAAATTTTCTAACCGCATATCAAAAGCCACAGCGGTATACGCCAATCTGGGCCACCTTTGGTGTTATCGCGTCGTTAGTCTGACCTTAAAATTTTGGGTTTGCAACGCTTCGGTGCTAGCAGTTCTGCTCTACGCCTAGAATCCTGACCCTTCCGAACTGAGAATACGCGACGACTCTATGTATTCAACCATCGTTGTTTCCATTGGATTGCTCATATCCAGTGCCAACACCATGTTAGTAATTCTGAGGTACGACAGTGTGTTTGGGCATCATGTTGAGATATTAATTCAACAAGTGAAGTCATCTGTAAACACCAGCCTCGGTGGCTTTGGCATGTGTTACGCATGTCGTCCCAACGGCTTCCATACCGTTCATTGTTTGCTAGCCCTGGGATTGGCGCCGTGAGATGAAGGATATTTGTATCGAGTTAGTATCTGTTGTTGCATCACGATCCCCTGAGTGGGGTCTGAGAGATCACACAACTCGTTGGCTTGAGACGTTATCAGATATGGCTCAGAATTGAAACCGGTGGTGATCAGCTGTAGCTTCCTTCTATCTTCTGCTGCTGAAAAGTAATGAGTGTTTTTATTTTGAATGTATCTTACTGAACTGCCCTTCTAATCATTCTATTCTTTTTGTTTTATTTTATCCATTTCCCTACGCTTTATGTCTTCACAATGTTATTTTGCTTTGTGTGGCGCATTCCTGTGTGCTTTCGCTGTACAGTGCTTGCGTTCTAATGATAATAATAATAATAATAATAATAATAATAATAATAATAATAATAATAATAATAATAATAAAGACAACAACATTATAGGAAAACTATGTTCTGACAAATCAGAACATTTAATTTAAGACTGATGTGTATCCATTCAAGATGTCATACTATGAAGTTAGTTTAGTCACCCTTAGTTATGTAAGAACTGACCAACTCGTTTAATATACATACCACCAATCATGTTAGTACGGATTACGTAGAAGACAGTTTCTTAGTCAGCACATGATTGAGATGCTGTTTATATATATATATATATATAAATCCATTACATTCCTTTTTTCCACTACGATATTTTATTATGTATTCAACAGATATTACAGTCACAGAACTGGCCTCTTCATGCTTGTATCATCACCGATGATATGCTCCCACCCGTTACTGAGTCGTATTTCCTTCATCTTAAAAGGTAATTGTGATCTTTTGTTGTCGATCTTATTTCTGTTATTTAATAAAGGGAAACGTTCGCTGAATACTGTTATATTAATATATTGATACACATGGTCGTTGTGCAGAACTCCTTCAGGAATTTCAAGCTCTCGACTCATACATAAAAACCTGGAGGTAAGAACACGAAGCTTATCCAAAGTAAGGTTGTTTTAAAGGAGCTCAAAAGTTAACAAAGGTTTCAACCTGGAATCATTAGGTTTTTCGGTATATACAAAATCATCAAATGCACAATCAATGAAGTACATCTGAAATCAAATAAACAACGCTTAGCTGTGTCAGTTAGTTCACCATGGTTAGAAAATAACATGCTCTTCAAACCCCACCAGAATTAAACAAGCTCGAAAGCGTGTAGCAGATCTTCAACACTTGATGAAATTTCACAAGCAAGAAAGGTAGAGTAATATCGACAATACTGTTTGGATAAAACCAAAAGCATTAGAAGAAAACGGGGGAGGGGGGTAAATAGCGAAATGAGAAGCAATTAAATCATAAGAAAGAGTGAATTTCTTGCATGAAATACTGCACCAATGCTTTTACATAGTCGTGTAAATTTCTACCTATCAAAACAAATAACGATTTCACTTCTTACTGTCAGCTGAAGTATCAGCACTGACCAGTGCTGAAGGATCATGTTTCATCTGAGAGGTGAGAAAAGTGCTCTCAACATTTCCAATTTATCACTAGATGTGTCCAGAAGATTGTGAATCCTGTCAGTGTCTTCACCTAACAGGACCATGTCACTGACATACTTTAATTCGACTGAGTTAGATGAGAGGTCTCTGTCTGTAAAGCGAGACGGGAGGAGAATGAGTTACATGATCATGTTTTTGAGGAAGTTGAATACATGCTTCTCTGTGCATATTAGTAGCAAGTGAGCACCATTATCCCTTCAGTCGGCTTGAACTCGCAAAGTACCACTGAATTTTGTTTCTGGCTCTCTTGTTCATTGAAACAGTCAGTTGTGTCGACCGCATCTTAAGTTTTCACTTGTGGTAGGAACCCCAGTGGGTTGCCAGTAAAACTCATTTTTCATGTCATTTACACTTGAAGTATTGAATGGTTAACTAAAGATTAAAAACAGTCAACAGCGTGTTATCACTATTCTCTTTAGTTCTTATTGCAAGATTATTTCGGACAGTGGCAAAGTGACTGTCAGCTGGGGCCAAGTCGAGCAGTGCACCTTCTACCGACACATAGAGGACATCTAAAACTAACTGAGTAATTCCCGTGAACTTAAAACGTGAATATCATATATTTAGCCGAAATAACAGTCGTAGAAATACGGCAAAACGTCTTTTTCGTCATTTCTCATCATTCTGCAAGCTAACTAATATCAAATTAGAAGCATTTAGAGAAGTGAACGAGCTTGATAACATTATGTTAGATGGTGAACAATACACACGCTGTACTTGTTTATGGGTTCTATTGAGATAAGTCTGTTGACTATCTGTCAAGAATATGAAGTGTTTGAGTTATATCTAGAATTCTACATGAGGCTCGACAATTAAAATTAAGCTCATTTTACCTTATTTTTCAGAAATAATTATTCCCTATACTTCGAAATCAATTCAGCATAGTTATATGTATTTGCTTTTCTACTTTCATTCTAGGTTAGGATTAAGTTTGGAGAGACTGATTCCTGTTAATGTTGCACATTGGTTCATATTTGTCTTCAGATTTTTGAAAAATTATGAAATAAAAGTTTTCAAAATACTTGGGAAAATTTTACCTTCTATGTGGATTTCTCCTCATTCATGTGAATGTTCACCTGAAACTTTTCCATCGTTGACTGCTGATGGATATGAAATTTCAATACAGTTTAATTATTTGGCTCCTGCCCTATTTTTAGATGAACTTTTTAAAGCAAGATTTATTTATTCTTCACCTCCTCCACCTTTTCCAAACAGTTCAGTATTTGATAAACTGAATCTTCGTGTAGTGATAGTCACATCAGAAGTTCACAAGTAAGCCTTGCTAGAAAGTACTGATATATATATATATATATATATATATATATATGATGTCAAGTTTGTCTAAAGATAAAAAAGGTGTGTAACACGTCATTATAGAAACCACTTCAAATTGTATTTAATGGTTTCTTTGCAAGAATTCATGTGTATCTGCTGAAAGGGTCAAAAATTCACACTTTCCCACCCACTGTTCTTCTTCATTAAGATGGGGATTAAAATTGTCAGTCTGTTGACCGGAAATATATATATGAAATACAATGTTCGGGAAAAGAAATCAACGGTGGCATGTTTAAGTTTTGGGCATAGAGCTCGGGGTAAGAATCTTTTAGAGTTTGCTAGAGAAATTTTCGTGGCTAGGACTTTTGCATCAGTAACTATTGGCTATCACTTCTATTTGAAGTCACATTTGTTTTATCCATTCTAACTGTTATGACTTTGACTGGATAAATTGATGTTAGTTGAAATTGCAGTGTGTTGTTTTTGAAAAAAAAATGTTTGTATACTGAATTTGTTTAAGAACAAAACGTTAGTAGAAAGTTTAAAAATCATCGGGATAAACTGAGTTGAAAATGGTTGAAAGGACGATTTCAGTAGTAGATATTCCGAGATTTTTACTGTCTGTTTATGTTGTTCACCATAAAGCTCTATCAAATACTTCTGTTTGTATCCGTTTTTTTCGGTTTTGTATTTAATCGCAAACTTGTCGGATTGGTGAAACGCTTACGTAGTTGTTCAGAAGTGTAAACATTCTTATTTATCAAGTGTTAAAAATCCCCATTGTCAAAGTTAGAAGATGTAAGGGAACTATATTTATCTCTGTTATCTTACTAGGCTTTACACTAATATACATAAATTTTCCAATATATAAAACATTAAACCAGTCATGGTGAATTCTTTCGCCTGTGGTAACAAGGTGATGAGGTATTCAAGTGGCAAATGTCCACACAATAATAATAATGATAATAATTATCTGAGTGTATTTATGAAATCAACTACTCGTATGGAGAAAGCTGTATCAAGCGTACCACTCGGCAGCTTGACAAATATGTTGCTTAGCACTTATCCTCGTGGCTAGGAAAGAGACAAGGGAACACAATGCAAATTTCAATTCTGTCGCATTTTGCCGATATTGGCCATGCAATAGATAGGACGGAAGCGCTCAAATCACCTATCGCATTCCACAGTCTTTCGAATGGAATTCATATTCGTATATTACATATAGCTGAGGTCATGAGAATCAGAAAAAAACAACCTCCCTAGCCTTTTTTAATGAAAACTTTCTTATTTGCTTAGACTTTGATTGCATACTTACGTATCATCGTTGAACTGATCATTATGACTATTATTATGGTCTTGATATTTACCATTTGTATACTTCATCACATTGTTACCAAAGACTAAGGAATTTACCATGATTGGTTTAGTGCTTTGTATATAAGAAACTTTATGTAAACTAGAGTAAAGCCTGATGAGAGCTAATTAAAAACAATATTGTTCGCTTGCGTGTCTTCTAATTTATTAACAGTTTGAAAATTCTCAGTTTCACAAGCTGAACTAAGCTGGTTAAGACTCATACACTAGGCCTACCATACTGTTAATTATTGTGATTTCAGTGAACAGGTTAGTGCATTATCCAGTGGACCATATGGTTGTAATTTAGCTATCATAGACAGTGTAATTTGTGCGGTTATCCACGACCGGGGTGATCACGTGCTTCTAGCTGAGCTGTATACCATATGAGCGACTTTTGTTATTCCAACCAAGTTTCACCGTTTTCGCGGTAGATGATGAAATATTTATTACGATATGTATTTTTGATGTTAACTTAGTAGTATCGACGAAAATTTTGGTTGTCAAAAAGTAACAAACCTTTAGTGAGGATTTCTGGTCTACTTATTTGTAGACGTACTCGGGTGACCTCTACTCTGCTTCCTACCGACAACTGTTACTTAAATGTGGTCGTAGGCCCTGCATATCATGATGACCCAACGAACTATGCTGGTGGATAGTCTGTTCCTTGGAGGTCCTACCATATCTGAAAGGTTCATTGGATAGTGATGCGATAAAAAGCAGTCATCTTTATAGTGTATTTTGCTAAAATGAGAGTCCGAGGACAAAATCGTACGGCTGGCTAGACGGGGTTGGGCGAGGTGTTTCTCTCGGATGACTAGTGATGTCATGCTGATACTGCCTTCCCTACGGGAAGGAGAAGAAGTTAATATCGGCCAACTCTTTAAATATCACACCTTCTACTCCTCGGCTTTATTATTATTATTTGTCCCTTGGGTTCCTAGTGGAACATAGGGCTTCAGTAGCACATCTCCATTCCACTCTATTCTCTGCAATCTTTCCAACCTGGCTCCACGACTGCCCAGTAGCTTTCATTTCTTGCTCACATGATTTCCTCCATGTCACACTCAGCTGGGACGCCCAATCTCGTCGTTTCCCTTTCGGCTTCCACTCGAGGGTTTGGCCTGGCGCGTGATGTCCTCAAACGGTCTTCTCAGTGTATGTCCAATCCAATACAATCCGCCACCACTTTCTTCTCCATATCTGTTGCGCGAAGGGTTCTTGGTTGGTTCGTTTCCAGCCAGAGTTCCTTGTTGCTTATTCTTCTTATTCTCGCCATCTGAGCTTCAGGATCGAGTGGGCGTAGGCGCCACCTGTTGATGTATGTCTGTAGATTATTGTAAATGCTTTTCGTAACGCGCCAACTCTCTGAACCAAATAGAAACACTGACTTGACATTACCGTTGAAAATATGGATCTTGTTTTACATGCCGAGTGCAGAAAATCACACTGGTTTCAGGTTAATGAAGGCCTGTCTTGCTTTTCCGACCCTGGCTTTGTCATCCTCATCTGTGCCGCCACCACCGTCTGGTAGTTGAAACGATCCTGCCTAGGTAGGTGGGTAGGTGAAAGAGACAATTTCCTTTAGGTTTCTCCCATTGATGGTGATTGGTGTTTGTTGTTGTTGGTTGGGTATCTTCATCACCTCTGTCTTCTCTACATTCACTTGAAGTCCTATCTTCGCTGCCTCGCCTCTTCTGTCAACTTGTTGGTTTTCGCCTGTAGATCTTCGAGTTTGTGCCACAAGACACTAGACATGACATATCATCATCGGCGAAATCCAAATGTTTTTCTGGGGTGTTTTCATCGATCCAGCCATCGTATAGCCCTCTTCTCGCTCCTCACTGTTTGCTGCATGATCCAGTTCAGTCGACGACAATCAGAAATATGATGGGTGATAGAAGACAGACTTGTTTTACTCCTGTCTTCACTTCAAAGGCGTCGCTGGCATGTGGCGTCTTCATATAGCTGTTGAATGGGGTTGATAAAGGTTTGTAGCACTCCGTAGTGTTGAAGTAGCTGCCTATCAAATTAATTCTCGGTCGACGCTGTCGAAGACCTTTTCAAAATCGATGAAGTTGAAGTAGAGAGTCGACTGCCATTCTGTTCTCTGTTCTATGATGATGCGTGGCGTTGCATTTCGGTCCGCACATGATTTTTCGTCCTGAAGCCAGCCTGCTCCGGTCGTAGTTTTGAATCCAGATCATTTTTTAGTCTCTCCAGGATGATGCGGCTTAATATTTTGTTTGGGGAGGGTGGGGACAGCAGCATGATTCCACGCCAGCTCTTGCAAAGACTTAGACCTTCCTTCTTTGGGAGTTTGACAAGGTAGCCCTTCTTCCAATCGCCAGGTCCAGGTACCTTCCCTTCCCTCCTTCCTTCCAAACCTTGTGCGATAGTGGTGTGAGCATGTCCGCTACTGTTTCCCTGAGTCCGCTCTCAGCGCTCCTGGAGGAACTCCATCTGGTCCTGCTGCTTTCCCGCATTTCAGCAACTTTATTGTGTTCAGGACTTCTGCTTTTGTCGGAGGGTTTGTATTCACTGATAGTTGTGTGGCTGGGCTGCTGGTGGTATTTCTGGACGAAGTGCAGGTGGTGGTCGATTTAAGAGCTTTTTGAAGTGGTCAGCACATCGTTTCCTTTGTTTCTCTTCTTTGGTAATTAGATCTCCTTCATCATCTCTTATTGGTTTCATGTGTGTTGATCTCTTCCATCCCAGATAGTAATCTGGTTATTTGATACAATGTTGTCAGGTTTCTATCTCTCTCACGTGCAGCCTGTTCTGCTTCACTTGCCAGTGTTTCGTAGAAGTATCTTTTGTCTTTGCGTGCACTCTTCGTCACTTCTTTGTCCAGTGTAGTATTTTATAGGTTGTGTTCAGTTCCTCTTTACGTTGTTCATCCATACACTGCACTTGTTCATTTCCTGCTTCACCATCTTCCTCTCCCTGGTCTATCAGCTTCCATGTATCCGTGGAGATCCATTCCTTATCTTCTTCCTTCTTCCCTCCTAATACGGTTATGCAGGTTTCTTTCCACATCTCTTTCAAACAGTTCCAGTGTTCATCCACACAGGTTTTTTCAGAGATGTTGCTCGATATCTCTCATTTTGTCTTGATGGCTGATGTGAGGATGTCCCTTGTAGTTTGGTCTTTCAGTTTCTGTTCTGGGTGTTGAACTTGAACTGTGGTCGTTTATCACCAACTTCTGTGAAGGCTTTCAACTTGATTTTGAAGGTGGGTTCCTTGCACTAGACATTGGTGTGAGTGGTGTGAACCTACATCTGCTCCCCTTCTCGATCTTGTGTCAAGTAGGCTGCGTCTCTACCTTATTCACATTGAGATGAAGTCGATCTGATTTTTAGTGTAGTGTGTCCTGGTGTCTAGTGAAATCCATGTCGCTTTGTAGATGTCCTTGCGCTTGAACACAGTGTCTCCAATCACCAAATCGTTGAATGCACAGAATTCTGCAAACAATTTTCCATTCTCGTTCATCACCTCACCGAGCGCTTCTCGACCCATGGTTAGTTCTCTTCCTGTGTTTTCCGCTCCCAATGTGGCATTCATGTCACCCCACCCACAAGAATTTTGATGTCGCCATCTGAAGTCTTGTCCAGTGTTGATTGCAGTTGTCTGTAGCATTCCTC